AGGATAATGCCTTATAGAGTTTGAGGATGTGGAGGCTTAATGACCTTGACTTTGTGACTGTCTTCTGAAATGATGGGCGTTGAAGCAAGATGCTCTGTTGTTGCGAGTGTTGAGTCTAGTGGCCATCCAAAAATTCTTACAAGTATTTTAGTGATGGAAATGCTCTAGTTCTCACATACAACGCCAAATTGATGCGCGTTAGAATATTCACAGCGGTAGAGTAATAAACTATCGTCTTAACGTTGCACGAGAATTTAGCACACACTCGGATAAAAGAAAACAACCAGTAGTGAAAAAAAAGGATTTATGTGGAAAAATCGTAAAGGGAAAAAACTATGAGGTCTGTCCTAGTTGTAAAAATTCACTATAAGTTGATGATTATAGAAACCCCTTGTCTCATAGGCAGGAAAGATTAAACCACGAGGTATGTCCCAGTTGTAAAAATTCACTATAAGTTGATGATTATAGAAATCTCTTGTCTCATAGGCAGGAAAGATTACTAAGTCTTTTGAATTACAACGTTTACGTGTGGTTGAACTTATTATATGAAGTGGGCGACAACTGATGTTAATCGGTGGAGGCCGACAGGTGGTGGTCGACGACGGTCGGCAGTGGTCGACGACGGTAGACGGGGATCAACGATGACAGTTATGGTGTTGGACTTCAACTTCTTCTCAAAGCTTCAAGTTTTTCTTCAGTCTTCAAACTTTCTCCTTCTCATGAGAGGAGTTGGACTCTATTTATAATATTCTATGAGCAAATGCAGGAATAAAAATCACATTGATTGAATGTTCTGTAGAACGTGTTTCGATCAGACAGTATTTGATGGACATTTGAGTCTGATTTATCTTGTCGAGACGCTCCATTCGGCTATAGGCTTGCTTGATTCAACATTCGTTTGATTTTCTAAATATGCCTGGAAAAAATTCAAGAGAGCTTTAATGAATTGATATATTCTTGATTTGACTCGAGTTTGATTAATTTTGATATCATTGGGTCCGTCTCATTGAGCCGGTCAGTTTGACTATAAGTTTCCTGAAATTGAAGCTTTGGATCACTCTCAATTGAAATTTGAATGTTTCTTGCTCAAAAGATTACCTCGAAATTTATGTTGTGTCAAGATTCATGTCGGATGATAAAAATTTATTGGTGACGTATCAATAATTATTTTTCATATACATATCTATGTATTATTATCAAATATTTAATTAATTCGGCTAGATTTTAATTCAATTATAATTTAAAATTGTAAATAAAACATTAAAATTCTGATCATAGTTCTGACTTAATTCATTTGAAGCAATAGATGCCACCTTTTAATTTTAGAATAGTGACCACACGAACAATGATTCACACACTGAGGGTCTATTTGGGGCAGCTGCAGCTTATTGAATAATTTGCTGATAAGCTGATTAAAATATTATGTTGATAAGTTAGGTGCGGTTGTTATTACAAATTTTTTTTTCTTAGAAAAGCCAGACCAATGCCAGAAAATTGTCTTCGCACATTAATAGGTGCGGTGTGAAAACGCAGTTTTCAGTGTTTTGAAAACGCATAAACTCTCAAAATGAAGTTTACCCAAACATTTCGGATGCATTTTCAAAATGCTACCGCATTAAATAAACTGACCCAAATGGACCCAACACAAATTACAAAGTCTCTTATTCTTCATAATATTTAAGTGAGATATTAACATATATCGCGCTTAATTCTTATGCATTTACATGCCTTACATCCGAATATTGATTTTTATTTTTTTTTCTTAAGCATATTTATTTATGTATGAAAAGGTATGTAAAGGTTATTGGGTATTATGTATGTAAATTACAATCACACAACATCATGTACATCAGCGACAGACGACTGTGACTATCCCGAACAAACACCCTGGAGCGTTTGTTGAAATTTGTTGGCAGAAACAGCATTATTTCAGAATTTTGAATCGCAAATTTTTAGCTCCGATTCCGCAAAGGTCGCGTTTAAAGGAGTTTGCCGAAAGAAGCCCTAATTTTGCGCCATAAATCCATGCGCGACAGCGCGATTAGCGCTGAAATTGGTGGTTCCGTACACTGGAAGCTCGTCCGTGAACTGTCTCATGGTGGCGAGACTCTCAAGCTCGAACAGCTCGGAGCTTGAAACGCTATCGCAATCAGTCTCCTCCTCTTCTTCCATGTCGAATCCTCTCAGAAACTCCTCCAGCACCATCTGCCTATCTCTCACCAACATCGGAACCTCGCCGAAATGTCGCTTTTCGCGACTGTCCCCATCGGCGGCGATGCTAGCAGATGAGAACCGAACCGATCTCTGCCTTCCGTCCCTCGAGGACGGCAGCATTCTGTTGATGTACGATCTCGCCGATTCTTCTTGTCCTCCCGCGAACTTCTGCTTCTTAGGTTTTCCACTACCGCTGGCGAATATTGAGTTAAGAAAAGCGGCAAGGCGGGCTCCCGGTGAAGCCGGGGTTTGCAGATTGCAAATCCTGCTACGGATCGAGCCGGTCCTTTTTCTTTCTGGCGGTGAATCTGAGCAGTAACGATCGCATCGAGCGGGAACAGGGCGAAGGCGAGGGGGAGCGGTAAAGTCGGCGTCGGAGGAGGAGAAGCCACCGAAGCTGGAGCAGTCGGAGGAGCTTGAGGTAAAAAAGTGACGGGGGTGGTTCGTCGGAGGTGGTGGTTTTGGGATCCATTTTTTGTCAATTGAGGTAGTCTCCGTTTTTGAGGTGGAGGAAAGGGGGAAGCCAGGAGAGAGGCGATCGGACTGATCAATTGAGCGGTAGATGGAGTCGAGGAGGGAAGAGGAGAAGGAGGGGTTGTTCCGGCGGCGTGAATGTGCGAATTTCTCCATTGTGGGTGTCAAGAGCAGAGCACGGCAGAGAAAAGAGAATCAGATCAGATTAGAATTAAGAAGTGAAGTGATGCATTTATTTGGGATTTTGAGCTTTTTGTTCTGTATCATGAAGAGGGTTTTGAGGATTTTAGAGGGAAGATTTTGCGGGAAGAAGGCGATGGGAGGAAGAGTTTGGAGGCTTTGGGGGACTAGATGGATAGGAGGAAAGCGAGAAGGCTAGGTGGGTTTTTAAAGGGAGAGGCCAGGGCTTTGTGGTAGTAACATGGCAAGTAGGGGTGTAGACGAGCTGAGCATTAGCTAGCTCGGTGTCACGGACAAATAGTTCCACATCAGTTAAGTGTAGTCCTGGGTTGTCCACCACCTATAATGGCTCTTTTGAGAGGTGACAAGTGGTATCAGAGCAGATTACTGTCTGTCAGGTGTGTGGACTCTCCATGGTCCAGTGGGACCCTTGGTGGAGCCGATCGGTGACGAGGGCGTCACGTGATTGGGTGGAGGAGAATGTCACGGACAAATATTACCACATCAACTAACGCTGTAGTCAATTAAATTTTAAAAATACTACTCATCAAGCCAAAACGAGTCAAACACGAACAAACAAATCATTGTTCGTGTTCGGCTTGTTAACCTAATGAATGAATCAGATATGAGTTTCTGAACGAGTCAAACACGAGTTGTTCACAAATAACGAGCCGTTTTGACACCCTAATGGCAACTTTAAAATTATGTGGGCATGTGCCAACTTCACAATTCGCATTAAGGAGGGAAGCCAAGGAAGAAATATTACCCCCAATCAACTCAATCCTCTTGGACTGACCCCACTAAACTATAAAACAAGTGAACGCCCAATAATAAAGTTAATCTTAAATTAGATTTTTAACCCTCCCTAAATCCAAAATATTGCTGAAGAAACCTAACCTAATCTGACATAATCATTATACATCAGATTTCTCAAAGACTTAAATAAGTATTTTACTTAAGTTATCAATGACAATTCATTTAGTTTTCTCAATATTTTCTGAGAAGAACCAACCTTAAACTTCATTAAGAGCACATAAAAGCTCAGATAGTGGCCTATATAGAACTCTCATTTCATCAAACTATAGTTGACAACAACAAAATAGATTACATAATTCTTATATCAGATATATTTCTGAAGAAATCTAACATAAATTTCTTCAATATATTTTTGAAAAAAGTCAGCAAAAAACTTCATGAAAATAAGAGATTATTTTAGCTAGATCTCTAAAGAAAAGTTTCTTTTCAGCATTTAAGTCAATGCACAACAACGAAGTAAATTTAATCTTAAATTAGATTTAATCCTCCCTAAATTTAAAATGTAGTTGAGACAACAAAGCTCGGATGGTGACCGAAAATAAAACTCTCATTATAATGCACATCAACAAAATAGAATAAATACTTCATATATCCAATATAGTTATGAAGAAATCTAGCATAATTTTGTGTTATTACTATGTATCAACTTTTTTTATAGTCTTAAATAAGGCTTATATCTCGCTGAACAGTCCATACACAACATATAAATTGACAACTTATTAAATTTATTCAACATAATTCTAAAAAAAAAAAGTCAACTTAAAACTTGACTATGTAAACCTCTATACATTGCATGAAAAATGGGTTGTTTGTCCTGTGAGGACCACCACCTTGTAGAGTGAGTCTGCCTTTGCATATTAATTAGTCTTATAAATAAATCTTCTAAATGTTCACCATCAAGGGCTTGCATAACCTATTACATAACTTGATATAATCACTCGATACTAATAGTTAACCAGAAATAATAAAATACTTGAGTGTAGTGATTTATAAAATGGTTAAATTTTCAAGTGCAAAAATATATTCGCATTAGTATTTTCCTGACAGGTTTTAAGTCCACTGCATGTGTTTTTGTCTGTGTTCTTTCTCTTCCTTTGGACTAATTTTTTGATATTTCATTTTTTTCTAGTGAAATTCGCCTTAGTCTAAGATCTTGATGATGTTTGTATATTAACGATATAAATCAACACTTTCTAGGCTTTCCAACGAGCATATATTGTGGGATCTGAGTTCTAACATTATAATAAAATATCAAGACAAAGCATCAAATAAATTTCTTTCAAAGTCATTAAAGCCAAACATTAAGATAATTAAGTCATTACGCTTTTCAGTATCTTTGATATCTCTAAATCTTTTTTCTTTGTGTTTCATTCATAATTGTTCCACTTTTGAGTTTATTCATTTATAATTCTAATAAAAATTCTATACATCTAAACATAGAAATTTCATGAAAATAAAATCATAACCCGAATTGAAAGGTTTCTTAAGTTACATTTATCGCTTAAGATGTAATTAATTGTAGGAGTTTATACATATAAGAAGTTTGTAACCTAAATTGAATATAAACCTTGTACAACCTTCGGATTAGATAGAAGAAAAATTTAGTGGTTTTAATTGTAGATCTTGTAAATATCTAATATTCCTTAATTTAAATAATTGAGCCGATCGTAAATTGGTATTTCTATCTTTGGAGATACTATATTACTTTTGATGTCATATTTGATTATTTAAATATTTAAATCTTTGAACCTGTATGGTTTTATAATGACCCGTGTTGAAAAATAAAACTAACATTTAATAAGTTAGTTATCTCAATGTATTAAGGAACTTAAACCTCTTCACTAACTTCTCCAAATTAATGATTTGTGTGCTACCTCCCGTAATTAGAACTCTCCTTTTTAATGATTTCTTATAATTGAATTTCTTGATCAACTTCATCTTAAATGTCCCACAAATACTCTAACACGTTAATGGCTACTTAGAGCATAATCTGTCAGGAGCACATCTTCATCATACACAATAATATATTACAAACACAGCTTTTAAACATACTTCTCATAATGATTTAGAATCAAATTATTAGTTGGACTTATGATCATTAATCGCCAAATACTTAGTAATTGCTTGTTTTTATAGACCTACCATGTGTTCTCCATATAGCATCAACAACCAATTTGAGGGAGTGTGACCAAAAGAAAATATGTTGAAATTTTTATATCTATTTTACACTGATTTTGATGAAATTACACTTTAAAGAAAGATATTTTTTATGTTTTGTTGCAAGTATGTTGAATTATGGTCATTGGAGCAAAAATGACCAAAATATGAAGATTTGATCTTGGGCGCCGATGGTGAGATCGACATCGACGACGCCGACGGCGGGGTTTTCCCGAGAGTCCATAATTAATTAATACAGAAGCTCACCTACGGCACCATCGACCCCGCCGACGGAGAAACTGGTGATAGACGGTTACTTGGGTTCAATTGGCGGTTTTTGGCAATTTTTGGGCGGGAATAGTCTTTTTAAAAGAGGCCAAGAGGGGGTGTCCACGTGTGTCCACGAGTGTCCATTAGAGTGTAGAGAGTGTAATTTAGGGTTAGTATTGTGAGGAATTCTTCGAGAGATTGTAAGTGTGGAAGGAAAGTGAGAGATTTTTTCCTCCTTGCCGCTTCAAAGGAAAATTCTGTGTGTTGTAAAGAAAGTAAGAGATTCAGAAGAACTTCGAGGAGTTTGCTTGGGGAGGAATTAGAGATAAGTGGTATTTACTTATTGAAGTTGGTATGACTTTGCTTTTATATATAAATTTCAAGTTTTGGCGTATCTTCTCCATGAGTTCTGAGTAATTTTCTCTGTCTTTCTCCTTGTCTTGAGATTTTGTGAAATTGTGATTTGAATTGGTTGTGTCATGAGAATGTTAAAGAAGTTGTGATGATCTTTTCACTTCAATCTTAATTTACTTTTAATCTGGTCAATTGATTTGTTAAAATATGTTGAGTTTTACAACTAAAGTGAAGATTTAGGGAGGTCAAAGTCCTTGAAAGTTGGGTGCAAATAAATAGAGAAATAAAAATTATCGGGCGTAGAATTGGAGATTTTAGAGTGACAGACTAAAATCCTCAATTAGGTCCTATCGTTTGGGTGCTAAAGTGTAGATGTTAGCCCTCAGGCGAGGAGAACGTGGGAGCTCCGAAGTGAGAGCCGGTATCCTCCCAGCCTAGCCGCAGATTCAGTAACTTAGCATAAGATTAGTCAATGTTCTTTATGCTTGGTCCAAAGGGTAAAGAATTGATATGCTCCTATTTGACACAATATAATTTGAACTGATTCAATTTATCCATTTATTTAAATTTCTTGACAAGAAGAAGGATGATTTCTTATATATTGAACTTCACATTAGAAACTATATTAGTAGAATTAGTTAATTAAGAGTTTATTAAAATTACATTTTTATTTCAATTGCCTATTAGTGACAAATATGCAATTTGAATTATATTGTTGTGATTAAGTATTGGTTTTTTAAATCTTAGTTTGTAGCCTCTAATATTACTCAATGTGGGATCGATATCCAGGACTCCATTAGAGCCTTGTATTACTTGAGCGATACATATACTTGCGTTGATAACTGTGACTTTGCAATTATTGAATATTTTATACACATCTTTATCAAATCTATAACCGCTGTCAAGTTTTTGGCGTCGTTGCCGGGGATTTGAATCTTCTAGCAGCAGTATCAAATTGTTGTCTTTTTAAGCATATATAAAATCACTGTCAGGTTGAAACTCGTGTCATTAATACAATCCGAGCATGATTTACAAGAGTCTTTCAGTATCATGTTTCGGTCCTCTTCCCCATTCCTTAGAAAAAGTGAGCCACCGGTTCAGGTACAAGATACTATCATTACCGCCTGAATAATTAGACATCCAACTTGTAATTGTTAGATGCTTCTTCTATTTTTTTCCTTTACGCAGCTGGGCCATCCTGGACTTGAACCAGAGACCTCGCCCGTGAAGTAATTCATCGCACCTACGATCTAACCAATTGGGAGAGAATCAATATATTCTTTTTCAGGAGCGATTCATCATTCCCAAACGCAGCATACAACTCTTCATTGTACTGCACTCTTCAAGTGTGTTTGTTCCCGCTTCTCCCTTATCATGAAAAGTTTTTGTGAAATCAATCTGATGGGAAGAAAAAAGAAAGCGTTAAGAGACTCTTATGACCAACCCTAGACACTCTAAGATCCTTTTTCAAACCTGCTCACTCCTCTCATTTTGAGTCAAGAGATAGATAAATAGACACATTCCATTGCACTGATCGAGGAGCGCTCATAGTGACTGAGGGGGTCGAAAACCAAGAAGTGAGTTATTTATATAAGCATTCTTCTTATGAGGCTCAACAATTTTACTTAGAGCCAATAGACCCATATCCTCTTAGGGTCTCATTAGCTTTTCATCATTTCATCTTTTGAGCTTGGAATGATCTCATGTCACAAGCTTTTCTTCTTTTGGTGTTGTGTGATGTTATCCCTACAACACACCAATTTTCACTATTCACATTAACCAAGTGATTATTCAATTATGCGACCAACTTCTTTGATAGATTACATAATTTACCAAAAGAGACATTTTATAATCTCCCATCTTCTCTAACTTCGCTTACAGATAATATTAAAACATCAACCACACCAGAAAACACCAATATATAGTATTGTAAGATCCCTCCCAACAACCATGCATGAGATTTCTTAATAATGAAGCATGTAATCAATAATTTCCAATGCAAACATGAAAAGTTCATGCCATAATGCTCATATACAATTCTGTTTAATATTGCAAATGCTAGTCATTATTATTAAGAAAATAAGGGTAGTCAAATTAATGGTTGGATTGGTCATTTTTGGGTGAAGAGCAAGATGATAATTTGGAATTAATTAAGTTATAATTGGATTTATAAGTCATAATTTTTTAAGAAAATAAAAAAGTAAATGTATGTATACTTAAAATAAATATGAAAGGATCATAACTAGTGGCGAAGGCGAAGTATTGTTTATGCTATAATTTATGTCACATACATTGCGGTTTATCATTTATTATTATTATTTTTCATATAAGCTAGATTGTTATGATTTTTATAAAATTGCCAAATAATGTGGCAACATGAGCTAACAAGCTCATAAAAAAAAATTATTGTCCATTTTATTTAGGCAATAAAATAGAAAAAATTATTACAATATACTTTTACTTTAAAATTATATGATTGAGTCACTAAATAAATTTATCTTTAATTAAAATTTGTCATAAATATATTAAAATGTGTAAGAATTATAAATAAAAATTAAAGTCCCACTTCCCCCAAAAATTGCCGTGTTAAGAATTACTATTTGCCAAATGAACACCTCACTGCCACTAACCGCGCGCTTAAGCTCTCCGCCAAATACCCTCTAGACCGACTGAACCACCTTTTTTGTTCCGTGTCAATGGAAACAGCGGCGGCACTGAATCGAAACCCTCGAGCTCAGATTGAGGAAGAGCTCGAAGGAGCACAGAATGACTATGGCGATGAATCGGAGGAGGATAAGGAGGAGGAAGAATTTGACGAGGAAGAACTCAGCGGCCACGATGGTGGTCGATCCTCTGAGAGGGAAAGGATGAGCGACCTACTTCGTCGGTTGGCCTCCGGCCCCGTAAGGGTTCGCGTTCACGATGTTGTTATCAAAGGGAATATAAAGACCAAAGATTCCCTAATCGAAGCCGAGGTCCTACCGCTCTAACCCCCCCCCCCCGATGCGGAAAGCCCCCAGGCCGCCGGGGCAGCCAATGCTCGTCTTCAGAGGCTAGACATTTTTGATTCTGTAAATATCGTTCTTGACGCAGGGCCTTCTGAGCTTCCGGGCACTGCCGATGTCGTCATATACTTGGTCGAGCCCAAGAATCCCCTAAGCGGTGATATCGGATTTTACACTAGGCCGGAGGTAAGCACAATCTGTAGCTGATGATTTTCTTCCTTTTTTTTCATCAATATTAATACGTGTTAGAATGGGTTGCTTGATATAGGAAGTTTAAGAAGATTGATTCCTGGTAAATATTTTATATGAAGGCTTATTTAGATTAGTAAATTGTTATCATATGTTGAATCTGATGATTCTATGGTTACACTAGTTGCTTGCGAAGGATACTAGAATCATGCAAACAAGCAATGCAATTCTTCCTTTTGTAAATGTCAATTTTTCTGTAAAATTTTATGATGATAGAAACTGAATTCTATAGAAGTAGTGAATAGCTTAGTTTGTTGAGCGTTGAGATACACGATGGTGAAAAATAATCATACATTGATAGTAGACAAGCCTATGTCTTTCTTTTATATGGCCTATATTAATTGACTTTATTTATGTGAGTTTCTGGCTGACATGTACTAGTATATTATTCTTAATTTGGCTGTTAATGTTCTACCCACCCAATAAAAGGTTATTATAGTTGATGTTTTATATCATTGTTGATTCTTGACAGTTTCTATTATTGTTGAGGGAAATCTAAGAGCAAATGGTTCTCATGTAGGCTTGTTGTGGTTATGGCTACCCATGCATGATGCTTGGTTGTATTTAAAAGTTTTTGTATGAAGTGGGTTAATGTTGGATGTGGAGGACTTGATTCAAAGGAGAGATTATTAAGACATTTGGTAGTAGAAAATAGTCTACATTAAAGTCGAAAATAAGAGATGAGTTTATAATATGTTAATATTGTCTTGCCAATTTTCTGAGGCTTTTGGGTTGTTAGGTGTCCATTTACAAGTGGATTGGTCTTCATTTGAGTTAGTTTTCTACTGCAAACCTTTTCATTTATTTTTTGAAATTGAATGCTTAATTCGTAGTATAGGGCTTATATGCATGCATATCTAGTTATCCATCAATCTATTGCTATATTTTAATAACATAACATATAGAATGCGAAACATTATTTTAATTTTATGACTGTTTTTCTTATTTAATTTATATTATATTATATTTCTTGAAAAATTCTATTTTTATTTATATTCCATGATGTTAATTTAGCTCAATGTTTTTGAGGATCTTACATTCAATATGATAGCTCAAAATTGACTTGCCCATTATGCAAATAAAATAGTTTTGAATAACATTATGCAAATAAAATAGTTTTGAATATGGTTCATAAACTTTTTGAATGAACAAGCTAAAAACACAAATTGGCTTTCTCGAGCATTTTTGGCTTGATAAGAGCTATCTCTTGTAAAAAAATATTACTTTATTATTATCTCCCTAGTTCTTAAGTCGTGAATGATAATATGGTGAACAAAGCAAAAGCTATAATTCTTAATGATTTATGTGATATGCTTTTTATGCTGAAAAGAATGCATAAAGTATTATTACGATAGAGATATAAGATCTAAAGAGTTTGAGCTAAATGCTTTAGAACTGATTCTAATAGGATTTGAAATGAAGTCATATGTGAAAGATGAAAATATTATTTTTAGAAAATTTTAATTGAGAATTTTAATGAAGGGAATATTTCAAAAGAATTTAACAAATAAAATAATGCGATATTTCATAAATTTAAAAAAGGGAAAAATTAATCTAAAAGTAGGTGCATAATAGTAAAATTTTAAGCCTAGTTGAGATGCATATTGAGATTTGGATAATCATTTTGTATAATATAGTATTTTAGTTAACAAAATTTTTATTAAATACTGATACTAATAATTAAGAATAAAAAAGTTGTTTAAATTTGTGCCAACTATAAATGAGTTAATATTATAAGTCTACATTATAATCCTACATTGAAGTTATGTGAGCGAGTAATAAAATATATGTTTGGAAAAATTGTGCCTGTTTCAAAGATTGAATTTGATTTATTTTCAAGTAGATTTATTATTGAAGCAATTTTTTTGTAAGAGAATTAAAAAGTAAAGAGAGCAACATCTTGGTTTTAGTATAATTCTTATTAATCCTAAAAGGGTATATGATTGAGTGTCATGAAAATTAGTTCAGCGCAAATTAAGAAAAAAATATGTGTATTAAAGTATGCTTAAGTTTTATAAATATGTATATAAAGCATTTGCTAATACTAAAACTAGTTTTCAAGCAAGCGAAGATTGTCCAACTATATCAAAATTATATTAAGTTCTGTTAGATTATACTATTATTACTTATTATTTGACCCTGATTGTACCATTATTACTTATTATTTGATTTTATTATTTGATTATATTTTTTCTTTTTTTGCTTTATTCTATTTTATTTTATTTCCTTGTTATTTTAATTGTTTTTCATTATTATGCCTATTGTAATTGGATTTAAATACCCTTCCTCCTATCAATAAAATTGAGTTGGTTTATTCCAAATCTCAACATGGCATCAGAGTTAAATCAAGATCCAACAACCTTCGACTTCTTCTTCCGGTTCTAGCAGCCATTGTCTCCACCTGATTTTCTTTCCCAACAGTTTTTCTTGCTGTCGTTTTTCCCGTGAGAACAGTAATTTTTTCTGCAGGCTTTTTGCTGTTTCCACCTCTTGGCTCTATCGTTTAATCACCTCCAACAACCCTCTATGTTTCCGCCAGCGCTGGGAATACTCCTTTTTCTGTGAGAAACCTCCTGTGAGAAACCTTCAATGCTGAGATTCCAAACAGCCATGAGAAATGATATCCTATCTCTCGTGGAATCCTGCTTCCCATGAATCCAATCAACCGTGTTCCCCTCTCTCCCATGGAACCCTATCTCCCATGAGCCAAGGAGCTCCCTCAACTGGCTCTCTTCCACTTACAGCAAAATTCTTGCAGCAGTCCAACAGGTTCCTGTTTGCCATAATACCTCTGTTGTTCTGCAAAAAGAATTTCTGCAGTTGTATCCGTTTATCATGATTCTACCAAAATTAATTGATGGATCAGAACCACAACAAGATATCCTTTGGTTTATTCAGAATCATGGCTGATTCTTTCAATGAATCATCCTCAGAAGACATTATTGACTCCATCGGAGGATCGAGTCCAACCTCCGCTCCCTTGCAGACCGAAGGATTGAAAGCCAACATGAATTTCTTAATCACAACTCATAAGAATGACAATAACTTCCTCCAGTGATCCTTAGCGGTATCGTTGTTTATCAAAGGACGTGCGAAGTTTAGTCATCTCATAGCTATGATTCGTGAGCCTCTAAATACTGACCCGACATTTGGAGCTTGGGAAGTGGAGGACTCCATGTTCATGTCTTGGCTGATCAACTCTATGAATATTTCAATTGGTCATTCGTACATGTTCCTCCCTTCAACTAGCGCTCTCTCGACGGTTGTCCATAATACCTACTCGGATGTAGGAAATTTCGGTCAACTCTATGAGGTATCTAATAAGATCTGGGAGCCCAGTACTATAATTACCTGGTTGCATTATGGATGTAATGCGACTCGTACTACGACTACACTTGGGATTCTCCAGCAGACTTATCCCTCTTCTAAAAGATCACAGAAAAGATCATTTGTTCAAATTCCTTGCTGGTCTTAACAAAGAGCTTGACGAAGTCCGTGTTTGTGTTCTTGGTCGGGATCCACTTCCTTCCACTCAAGTTGCTTTTACCGAGATTCGTCGAGAAGAAAGCATAAGGCTTGTTATGTTAGACGCTTCTAGTCCTTCAGCTGAGTCTTCTGCCTTGATCTCAAATAATCCTCAGCCCTCGTACATGCCACATCAGAATGGTCACCCCACTTGTGATTACTGTCACAAATTAAACCACACTCATGACAAGTGTTGGAAACTTCACAGTAAGCCAACATACAAACCTTCGGCCAAATAATTTGCTACGAAGAGACTCACTGCAACGACCGAACAAGGCACAACTAACTCATTCACGGAATATCCCGGAATCCTTTGAATCCCTAAAGAACTAGATGGAACAATTGATCAAGTTTCTTGAAGCCAATCAAGTCTCTGCGGATCCGTCGGCCACTCAGGTCCGACAAGGTACACTTCCTATGGCTCTTATAATTTATTCCTTCTCTAGTCCGTGGATTATTGATTCATGTGACACGGATCACATGACTGACAACTCGAAAGCTTTGTCGACTTACAATCCGTGCTCTGGAAAAAATACTGTTAGAATTGCCGATGGATCATGTAGTCCCATTGCTGGTAAATGGTTAGTTGTATTAACATCTAATCTAACTCTGGAGCCTATTTCACATGTTCCTCGATTACAACGTAACTTATTATCTGTCAGCAAGTTGACAAATGATATCGATTGCGTTGTTAATTTTTCTTCCGATGGCTGTTTTTTTCAGGATCCTCGTTCGGGGAGGATGATTGAAACTACTGAAATGGTAGTCGGACTCTACTACCAAAAGGAGAACACGGAGAGTGAAAACATGACACTCAAAATTTTTAGTCCATCTCGAGTCATTGAGTGTCCCGTTATGTTATTACATTGTCGTTTAGTAAATCATAGTTTTCAATATCTGAAAAAACTATATCCTTTAATGTTTTCCAATAAAAATCTCTCAGCTCTCAAACTTTAATTGTGAGACATGTCAGTCAGCGAAACATCATCAGATCCATTATCCACCTCACACTTACACACCTGCTCCATTCTCCCGCATTCACAGTGACATGTGTTCCTTCTCGAACTCTCAGCTACATCAATAATCACTAGTTCTTAACTTTAATTGATAACCACACTCGAATGACATTGATCTACATTTTAAAAGACAAATCGAAAGTCGCTGCAACCTTTCAAAATGTTTACCCCTTTATTTTAACTCAATTCAAAACTCCCATTCATGTCTATCGAACCGACAATGGTCGTGAGTTTTTCAACTCAATTTTGACTAACTTTTTGGTTAATAAAGACATCCTCCACCATAGTTCTTGTACTGACACTCATCAACGAAATGAGGTTGTCGAGAGGAAAACCCGTCATCTCCTTGGCGCTGCTCGCTCCATTATGTTTCAATCCAATGTCCAAAAACATTTT